AAAATTAAAAAAAAAAAAAAAAAAAAAAGTTTTTCATTGCCTTAAGCAGAAATTTAGTATTCCTTCTGCTTTAACTCCCTTCTCCCCCTCCCAGCCCTTGGTAACCATTAATAAACTTTAATCTCTATGTATTTACGTATTCTAGAGATTATGTATAAGTGGGAACATGCAATATTTGCCCCTTTGTGCCTAGCTTATTTCACTCAGCATAATGTTCTCAAGGCTCATCCATATCTTAGCATATATCGTATTTTCATTTTTCTTCATGGCTGAGTAATAGTCCATTATGTGTACCTGCTACATTTTGTTTATGCATTCATCTGTCGGACACTTGGGTTGTTCCCTCTTTTGGCTGTTGTGAAAAGTGCTGCAGTGAACATTGGTGTACAAGTATCTGCTTGAATCTCTACTTTTAATTCTTTTGGCTATATACCTAGGAATTACTGAGTCACATGGTAATTCTGTTGAATCCATTAAACACTACCAAGAAGAGATTAGGGGCAGCATGTGTCAGTCCAGCTTACTTAGTGCTAGGTAGTATATTGGTGTGTGGGGTTCTTCTGGTACCCAAGCCCACCCAGGCACAGCAGAGTCAGGGAAAAGAGACCCACATGGTCATACACACACGTGCCTGGGCATGGGGAGAAGCCTGTGAAGGAAGCCAGGAAGCAAAGGGCTCGATCTGAAGGCTCTCTGGCTGCCAGGCCTTTGTAGGAGGAAGAGGGTGCCTCTAGAACCTAGCACATCCTGTTGTCTACAGAAGCACTGCTGGTTGGTAAGAACTAAGGCTAGACTTGTGGAGAACCAAAAAATCAAACCCATTGTTGAAACCAATTCAACTCTTAACGACCCTACAGGACTGAATAGAACCACCCATAAGATTTCCAAGGCTGTAAATCTTCCTGGAAGCAGACTGCCACATCTTTCTTCTGCAGAGTGGCTTGTGGGTTTGAATTGCCAACCTTTCAGTTAGCAGCTGAGTGCTTAGCCACTGTGCCACCAGAGCTCCTTGACTTAGGGGAGGGGGGTAAATATGGTAGTCTGGGATGAAGCCAAGTGCCTTTTACAGATCAGTTTTTTGTAGAAACTCAGCAGTTGGTCTAGCATCCTGTACCCCTCCTCCTTTGCCAACTAGCCTCCCAAGGGCACAGGCTAGGACCCAGACCCACCTAATTAGCAAGGCTGCCCATCCTGTTTGCATTCCCTTCCTAGGAATAGACTTTCTGGGTCAATTGGGGAAATGTTCTCCACAAGATAAACAGAGCAGGCTCCCTCTTGGAATGGCCAGGAGTCCACCTGGGGTTGAACATCCAATTCATTCATCTACCCTGCTTTAGGCACCAAAGATTACAGCACTGAACAACTACCTTACATTCTTTTTTGTTTTGTTTTGTTTTTTAATTTTTATTGTGATTTGGGTGAAAGCTTACAGAGCAAATTCGTTTTCTGTGCAGCAGTTCATACACATTTTGTTTCATACATTGACTGCAATTCTCCATAATGTAACAGCTCTCTTTCCACTTCCTCCCTGTAGTTACCTCTTCCCTATGTTCTTCTTTCCTATGCATTCCTTCTCCTAAGCTATCTCCCTGTGCAATTACTGCCCTTCTGTTCTCCCGTGATTGATCATTTCCTAGGAGTACATCTATCTGATGATATAAATGTTCACCCTATATGCCTGTTTATTGTTTGGATGGAAGCCATGGGAGTGAGTGAGTTCACTTCCAGACCTGAAGGGTAACTAGGGGCCGAAGTCTCGGGGGTGTCACTAGGCTCTATCAGACCAGTAAACCTTGTTGTTTTTATGATTTTGAGTTTTGTTCCACATTGTTTTCCCACTTCGTCCAGGATCTCCTGCACTGATCCTTTTCTGAGTGCAACCACCTTACATTCTTATTAGGGGAGACAGCCAATAAGCAAATTAAAATACAGCATATAAAGCTTATGATCAGTGCTTTGGAGAAAAATTAAGATGGGGGGGATGAGTGGAAAGCAGGAGAAGGAGGGCTGCTGTTTCACATGGAGTATGGAGTTAGAGAACGCCTCTCCTATAAGATGCAGTTTGTGCAGAGACTGGAAGGGATGAGGGAAGAAGCCAGGCAGATAATCTGAGGAAGAGCACTGCAGACCATGGGACAGCAATTACAAAGGTGGGAGCATGCCTGGCAAATTCAGGGAATAGCCAAGAGGCCAAAGTGGCCAGATTAGGGTCAGGGAGAGAATGGTAGGAGATCTACAAGTCCTTTCCCTGTCCCATAGAAGTAAGAACACAGAGAGCTCTTTAGGCCATTGGAAAGGCTTTGGCTTTCCCACTGAATTGGAGCCACTAGAGAGTTTTGAGCAGAAGAGTGACATGATTTTAACTGGGTTCAGAGGCTCCCTCTGGCTTCTGTGTTGAAAACAGACTGGAGAGAGACAAGGATAGAAACATGGAAGCCAGTGAGGAGACTATTGGGTTTATCACAAGAGATGGTAGAAGTCAAGACCAAGTGGTAGCTGTGTGATAATGAGCAGTGATCCTGTTCTAATTATATTTTGAAGATATAGGTGACCAGATATACTAATGGATTAGACTGTGTGGTGTAAAAGAGAAAATGGAATCACAGAAGACTCTAAACAAATCTTCTGATCTGGCCACTGAAAGAGTTTAGTTATTTCTGAAGAGAGGGACAGCACCTTGGAAGAGCAGCAGATGTGGGGAATTGAGTCATGAGCATATTAGATTTTAACTAAAGATACCAAATTGGATCTGTATGTCTGGAGGTGGAAGGGAGTCCCAGGCAGGAGATACAAATTCCAGTGGTATTTAGCATGTATCTGCTGACCTGCAGAGGAACCTGATGATCCTCTGTCTCTTGACTGCATGTTCTGTAAGGTGCGAAGGAGGGGAAAGAGCTGTTAAAGAAATGGAGACTAAGACAGAAGCTTCTAACTTGATGATTAGAAAGCAGACCTAAAGATTCTGAGTCCCATCCTCGGAGTCCCAGGGTACCTACAGGGTTCCTTGGAAGCAGAGAGGCTGGTTCTTCTACTCATTCTTGTACAGTTGAGAAGAGTAAAGGAACTCTGGAATGCACAAGCACTGTATGGACTGCAGGGGCTCTAAATGATGAAGGGAGGTCACACCAAGTAACCCAACCATAGGCTTCTCCTTTTGGTTTTCCTTCTACCCTTGCTCACTCGACCACTCAGCGTTCCCCTTTCTTCCTCTGCAACCACCATCAGCCTCTAATCATTCCCCCCTTTTTTTTTTTCCAGCTATACAGATGTTATTGATGTTGTCCAGGCCCTGCAGACCCATCCAGACCCAAATGTCAAGTCCTCCTTCACCATTGGTGCTATCACAGTGTGCGTGGAGCCCCTAAGTTGCTACATGGAGCACAGGTAATACTTAGGACCATTTCTGGCACACAGGATGTGTGTTGAGGTGCACAGAACATGAATTTTCTCCCAACCACCAAAAGGAAGCACATCTTTATAGTGTGTGTGTCTTTGGAACTCATCAGTCTACCTTGCATGTAATAAATGGTCAGTTATTCTGCTATTAGTGCTAGATTCTCCAAAAACTTATTTGGACTGACAGCCTCTTACTGCCTCTCTTTATGCACTGTAAAGTTGTCCATATCTGGCAGTGGGACTTGAAATAGATTCTGCCAGAAAGGAAAATTGCCCCATGGCTGTCTTTTCCTCTTTACTGCTTGTGTCCCAATGCATTTGGAGTAGCTCACAGAAAATTTTTCACATTGTTAAGCCATCTTATCTCAGTTACTGACACTCATTGTTACTACTCGTAATAAAAATGAGTGTCAATTTTGAAATTATATAACAACAACGAAGAAAACTGGGTAATAATTCTAATCATCAAGTTAGATCTCACCAACTCAATGTAGCTATTACAGTTTTTGTGAATACTTTCCCGGAATTTTTTATAGTGTGATGTAATATAATTTTGCATCCTTTTTCTTAGCATAACATAAACATGTAGTTTAATATATATAATATTTCAGTATCGTAATGGTGATTCGTTTTAATTAATTATATAATCTCTCTATCATGTAGATGGATATAATTGCCTTGACCAATTCCCCCCTGTTAGTCACATAGGATTTCTATAACTTTTTAGTATTATAAATAATCCTGTAAGGAACATATTTATCCAAAAAAATTGCACAGATTTTTAGATTATTTCCTTAGAATAGGTTCCCCTAAAGAGATACTAATCAATTGTATGATCAGTTTTATTACTCTTTACATTTCCAAACTCACATTTCCAATTTCACATTCCAAATTGGTCTTTGAATGGATATTACAGTTTATACTGCCACCAGTGGTGTCTGGAAGAACCTCTTTCAGCATCAAAGCACTCCTCACTGGGAAAAAATTCAAGTATTACGTTGCCCCTTCGTAGAGCTATTTGTCTTCCTCTCACTTTAGACAACTGGAGTGTACCCAGATCTGTAATCTTGTGTTTTTTCTGGCTAGTTCATATCATTATCTTCTCCTGGTAACTGATTGATCTATCTTTAGACCTTCATCTGAAAAAGCTCCCTTCCTACTTGTGTTCCAAGTCGATAGCTTTAGACTTCTGGTAGAAATGACATTATAGACTACTTCCCTGATTACCTTGGTTGACCCCTAGAAATGTCTTTGTCATTCTCGCTTTTCATCAGCTGTTACCTCAGTTTCGTTCCCCCATTAAAATGCCAGGGTGGTCCAGTTTCCCTTCTGTGTGTGATTGTAGTGGATGCTGGGCATCACTGTTGTCTTTGATGGCCATGTTGACTCTTCCATGCCATTCCTTTACCATTCATGTTTCTTCTTTCTCTCAAGTTTTTATTTAAAATGAATTAAAGCAGAAGGGAGGAGTCTTAACATGGAACTAGGTGCTACTAAAGATACTACCATTAAAAGCATAGGAAAAACAATAATAAGCAATAGATGGAGATTACACTTCAGAGGAATTATCCCAGACAAGTACTTTTCCATAATGTCAAAAAAATTTTAAGGGACTGTCAGGATAGGGCAAGGAGAACTCAAAGAAGAAATACGAAAAATCTGAGGAAAGGGACATGAGGTTCTTTGGGGGGGTGATGGGAATTCTAAAATTGGATTGTGATAATAGTTGCACAACTCTGTAAATTTACTTTAAATATCATTGAGTTGTACACTTTAAATAAATGAACTCCATGATATGCAAATTACACTTCAGTAAAGCTGTTAAATGTTTAAAAAAAAAAAAAAACAGGAAAAAGGAGCTAATGAAAGCTGATAGAAAATGAACTGTTAGACTTCTAGAAAGAAAGATTATAATAAAATCACTATGGAAATGAAAATTTCATTTGAAGCAATGAGAAGTAGCATAGACACTGCTGAAACTTAAGTCTATGTCAAAGAACCTCAGGCGTGATAAAATGAAGTGAAGAGTAAATAAGCAAAGAAACTAACACCATTTGAGAAAAAGGGAGTACAGATTTAGCTTTTGTGAGAATAAGAATCATTTCTGTGAATGTTTAGTTATACACTAAGTGTTCACAAAATATATGTTGAATAATGAATGCTATGCAACTATTTTTTTTTAATTAAGAAAATACTTATGTATTAACGTGGACATTTTTCCACAATACTTTGAGAAAAACAAATTGCCAAACCAATGTGTATTTTTTAAATGTTTGTTTGTATATGCATAGGAAATATCTAGAAAGATACATAACCAAACTAACAGTGGTTGTGTCTTAGAAATGGGCTTCCCTTGGGGATGGGCGTTGGATGAATGGGACATTTTATATGTATATATAATGTGCAGGGAAAGAAAAATTGAAGAGGAATGACATCACATTCATCATCAAAATAACATTTCAAGATCTATTCTGAAGTACAGTGTTGTCAGTGATAGGATACTATCCATATGCCTATAAGGAACACCAGTTAATATGACTACTGTTCAAGTTTACACACCAACCACTAATGCCAAAGATGAAGACATTGAAGATTTTTACCAACTTCTGCAGTCTGAAATTGATCAAACGTTGATGCATTGATAATTACTGGTGATTAGAGTGAAAGTTGGAGACAAAAAAGGAATGGTAGTTGGATACACAAAACATTGTTCCACATCCTACTTTGGCAAGTAGTGACTAGGATCTTAAAAGGTTGCAAGCAGCCATCTACATGCAGTGATGGGTCTCTCCTTGTCCAGAGCAAAGAAGAATGTAGAAAACCAAAGATGCATGGAAACAGTCCAGGGGACTGGTACACCCTGCAATCCTCAGCCTATACGACTATGAGACCAGGAGAACTAGATAGTGCCCGGCTACCACTGTCAACCACTCAGAGAGGGATCTATGTAGGAGATCCTGGATAGAGAGGGAGAACAATGTGGAACAAAACTGAAAATTTAAAAAAAAAAAAGGTCCAGGTTTGCTGGTCTGATAGAGCCTGGTGGAACCCCTGAGACTATAGCCTCTAGCTGCCCTTCAGGTCAGGAATTGAACCCACTCCTGTGGCTGCCAGCAAAACAAAAGACAGGCATATAAGCTGAACATTTATATTAGGTAGATACACTCCTTGGAGAGATTAATCATGGGAGAATAGAAAGGCTGTATATGCACAGGGAGATAGCTTGGGGGTCAGGGGTGCGTGGGAGGGAAGGCCACAGGGAAAAGGTAAGTATATGGAAGAAGTGAGAAGACAACTGTTGCATTGTGGGAAATTGTAGTCAATGTCAGGAGACAAAGTATATGTGAGCTGCTGTATGGAAAATGAATTTGCTCTGTAAACTTTCACATAAAAATTAAAAAAAAAAAAAAAAAAGGAAGGAGGATTGGTAGTTGGAAAATATGGCCTGGGTGATAGAAAAAACACCAGAGACTGCATGATAAAATTTGCAAGACCAACAAATTATTCATGTTGTTGTTGTTTGCCGTCGAGTCGGCCCCGACTCATAGCGACTCCTCCTTGGGTTTCCGAGGCAGTATCACTACGGAAGTAGGATTGCCCAACCTTCCTTCCGAGGAGCATTGCAGATACCATTTTTCAACAACATAAACAGCAGCTATACACATGGACATGACTGGATGGAATACACAGGGATCAAATTTGACTACATCTGTGGAAAAAAGATCTTGGAGAAGCTCAATACCATCCATCAGAACTAAGCTAGGGAATGACTGGAACAGACCATCAGTTGCTTATATGCAAGGTCAAGCTGAAGCTGAAGAAAAGTAAAGTCGACTAGAGCCAGAGTACAACCTTGAGTACATCCTGCTTGAGTTTAGAGACCATCTCAAGAATAGATTTTACACATTGAACACTAATGACCGAAGACAAGATATAGAATGATGTCAAGGACATCATACATTAAGAAAACAAAAGATCATTAAAAGGAAATAAAGAAAAGGTTGAAATGGATGTCAGAAGAGACTCTGAAACTTGCTCTTGAATGTAGAGTAGCTAAAACAAATGGAAGAAATTATGAGGTAGAAGAGCTGAACCAGAAGATTTCAAACAGCATCTCAAAAAGACAAAGTATTATAATGAAATGTCCAAAGACCTGGAGTTAGAAAACTAAAATGGAAAAATACATATGGCATTTACCAAACTGAAAGAATTGAAAAAATTCAAGCCTCAAGTTGCAATATTGAAAGATACTATGGGCAAAAACTTGAATGATGGAAGTTCTGGTAAGAAGGCGGACTAGGCAGAAAAACTCCACAGACCCTCTTCAACAAAGAAAAGGGAAACCAATTAACACAGACACAAAAGATAATCCTGGACTCCTGAGCCTTGAAGGGGAGGATATATAAGTGGACTAAACCCCAACTAGCAGAAGAATTTGCATGAAAATACTAAAAAAGGAGACAGATGGAGCTGCGGTCTGGCAGCGATCCTGATGGCACAGCACAGACAGCTTGGAGATTGCCGAGTGGTGGTAGGACCTAAGAATTAACCTAAAAATCAGTCCTGCTAGCCAAGGACTGCACAGAGGACTGCTCTGGTGGCTGAGGAATAAACGGAGAAAGTGAAGAGAAAGGCAGGCTGAGCTGTGGACTTTTGCTGGTTCGGAGGGTGCCACCATTTTGAATGTTTAAAAGCAGCTTGACTATTTTGGATATTTAAAGACACAGTGCTCTCGCAGATTCCTGGGGCTTAAGAACACGTTTTGCTTGCCAGAAACCGCAAAGACACTCTGGACCTGCAAGACTGAAAAGGTGCAACATTCCTCTTGTTACTCTTACACCCCATACCCGCTTGGTGAATGGAGGTGCGGCCATCCCCCACTCCCACCTACCTGCTGGGCCCACAGGAACTCCATCACAGTCTGTGTGCTCAGATGGAGCCTGGGTGCCCTTTCCAGTCCTCCACCAATTTTTTTTCTCTTTTTTCAT